GAACCAGAAAATATTTCACATTTTTACTTGAAAAATGACTGAAATGATTAAATCAGAAACATCGGAGCACGTGTGAAAGTTAAAAGTGGTTATTTATTATGATAGGGATCTATATCGCCCAATAAGCTATAAAGTATAGTGATGTAGTGATGAATACACATAGACACTAAAACTGAAAGTGACTACTTCATACACAGGTGACTACACCACCTGCATAACCACAGGAACCACAATGGTTGGCAATGGTGAATAAGTCTTAAGATTCTTTACTTAGGTTAAAGTGATAATACCACAGTGCAGAGATTATTTATCTTTTATCTTTATTTAAGTTCAATACTGTCAGCAAAATGCACGTAAAGTGTCAAACCTACTTCATTATGCAGTAAAATGGCCCCAGGCAGTGTTGTTACTAATAGATAACAGGTAAGAAGTGGTGGAGGTGGAGCTCATTTTAACTGCTTTACTGGGTATTTAAATCTATAACAATGCATATTATTTCCCAGACTGATCAGATGTCGACTAATATCTTAATCTATGAGCTGAATAGTAACAATAGTTGTTAAATAAAAAAACATAAACAAACATGGAATGGAAATAAAAGCACCTTAAAAGTACCAAACTAAATGTACTTAGTTACGTCCCACCACTGGAAATCCCCTAAATTATTCTTTTGATATTTGGGTTGTGTCTTATTTCACTTTTAATAAAGCAAAATGTTCTTCATTGCTCGACATAAACCACGATGCACAGGAAACGAGAGATTGTCCTGTTGCCATCTTTGTTTGAGTCAAGGAATGGCTCAACATGTTAGATTTAGTTAAATAATTTGTGTTTGCAGGACAGAAAAGTCTTCAAAACACTGTTAATATGCTTATTTAAAACAAGAAAAGCTGATTTATAGAGAAAAATATGATAGAAGGCAATACTTTCTATTCATAAAAGCACTTAAAGGACCACTGTTGTGGTTTATCGACAGTTTGCTACGTTTACTTATAAACCTGTTGTTAGATTAAAAACATCTCATGACACAATAAAGTTGTAATGTCAGTTCAAATATATCAGTCGGTCCAAATCAGATGTATAGAAGTAACAATGAATTTGAAAGGTATTTTATGTATTTGAAGCATTAGCTAACAAATGTGTGCTAGAAATATCTAGAAGACCTTGAGAAGCAGCAGTGAGCACTTGAACGCATCATTTTAAAGGGACAGATGACTCAAGGGAAGAGGAGAGAACGTGACCGGAAAGACGGCGGAGGCAACCACCAAATAAGGAAACTCTTCATTCACGTTTTTTCCAGTCTCTTCCTCCTCAAGCTGTCACAGCTACACTTCTACTTCTCCTTTCCTCGTCTTCTTCTTCTGAACAGAAAGTAAATATTCAACACTGAATTATTGCATTTATTGTTTGTTTTTGTGACTACTGCATGTTTATTTTAAAAAATCCACCTTAAAAACCAAACTGCTCATGTGCGTGTGAGCTCTTTAAATTTCACATCAGTGCTAAAAGATCCAGAATACATAAAAACTACACGCTCTAGTAAGTAAATTACAACCTTTATGCAAGCAGAGGTCAGTTGAGTTTGTTGTAAAATAAAATATAGTTTTTGTTGTTTTTATGTTTTATTTCATCTCTGTTAGTTAAACACCAAATGCAACCAGCTATGGGGTCAAAGTTGTCACATCCAACCAACACGTTTTGTCTCAGAAGTCTCACAGATACACAAGCTTATGAGAAGCACCTGAAGGCAACACGAGACCTGTGGCCTGTTAGCACTTATTAACCCACTCACGTTTTTTTTTTAAAGGTGGTGCAGTCCTCTGACAGCAGATAACACATGCATTATAAGTGCAGTATATTATATATGACACTAAAGGCCGAAGTAATTGTTTAACAGACGCGTTAGAAGTGAATAAACGTGCCTTCTTCACATCCCGCAGTGTAAACTTTAGATTTCTACTGCATCTCTGAAACCCTGCGTGGATTTTCTGCATCACATTTACTGCTTTTTTACTGTTTCTCCTCTTTCAGACACAATAGTCTCTTTCTCTGCCGACTTGGTTTTTCCTCAGGCTGCGTTTTTGCTGAGTCACCGAGAGGCCATTAATCTTTAACTATAGGCAAACTGAGACTAGGCGGCAGGCCAACATGCAGAGCGAGCTACAATTTTATGAACAAATACCTTTTTGACAATTTCAGACAAAACGTTGAGATTTCTATTTTAAGTGCTACATGTTTGGTCTCTTTCCAGCAGACTAAACAGCAGCTTTCATTATTAGTAGAAAACCCCTAATTCCACTGTGAACAGGTTAGCTGTACGCCATGTTCTGGGTCTGCAAACAGACAATAGTCCTCTTCTGTTGAATCCATTGTGAACTCTCTGTGCATATCTAATGCAGGATCTCACGGTCCAACATCATGTGAGAGCACGTGAGGACAAAGGTCCTACTGCGGCCAGACTGCAGCCGAGTCACATCTGATTCACTCTCAGCTTTTTATTTTTTTAAATTACAAATGAGAATCTGTTTGCAACAAACACAAACTCTCAGCAGTCAGTGTAGCAGAGCGCCTGAGCAAAGCAGCAGGAAGCTCCCAGGTGAAAACCTGAGGACAGATTGTTCTGTGCTTTAGCTCGAATGCTCATTACTCTGTATTTGTTTAGATATATTCTAATTTAAATTATTTTGGGTACTAATGCAGGTATGTTTGGCCTGTTTAATGCCAGTTACAGATGGCCCCTCGGTCAGATATCTATTCCTCGTCTCCACTAGAAACTAGATTAAAGGTTAAGGCCGGTGATATTCTATATTTTTCTTAATGTTGACATATCCCTTAAAGAGAAACTCAACAATGACTTTACCCTACAAAAAAAGCACTGTGTATTCAAAGAGAAAAAAGCTCCACTGATGTCCAAAGACTATTAGAAACACATCAATGAGCCACA